AAAGTGAGACTCTGCCTCAAAAAAAAAAAAAAAAATGCTAAGTGAAATAAGCCAGCAAGAAAAGGACAATTATTATATGATTCTACTTACGTGAAATATCTAGATGAGGCAAATTCATACAGACAGAAAGTAGATGAGAGGTTACCAGAGATCAAGGAGAGGGAGAAATAGTATTTCATAGGTGCAGAATTATATTTGGGAGATGATAAAAGAGTTGTTTTTTTTAAATTTTTTTTATTTTTTGATGAAAGAATTTTAGAAATGGTTAGTGGTGATGGTTGCATAAAGTCATAGATTTGACACCACTGAATTACACACTTTAAAGTAGTTTAAGCTGTACATTTTGTGTTATATTTTTTACTACAATTAAAGAAATTTCACAAAGCTGGAGAACAAGGGGATGGTGTCACATGTGCTTTCATGTCCTGGGAGGTCTGGAGCGCAGAGGAGCCAAGGTAGGCAAATAGAGCCACTGGATGGAGGGCTCTGTAAGTTTCTGTGGGAGATTAACTCTTGGCTTCAGAGCAGAGCAGGGATGAGTTCAGCTGCTTCTGGAGAGTGTAATGAACATGTACCGCTGTGCTCCCTTGTTTCTGAGCAGCTGGACCTTTTCCCCATTTATCACTGTTTTGCTTATGTTATCCTCACAAGCACCCCAGGTCTCTGTAGCATATTTCCCCTCTTATCTGCCACTAAGATGATACCAAGTGAAATGAGGGTCAGTGTTAGATTGAACTGCTGTAGTTTAGCCTGAGCCATTTAGAGGCATGTCCTCATTGTGTGGCTCAGCTCACACCCATGTCACAGCCCTGCACTGGAGGCAGCTGGTACTGTTGGAGAGGGCAGCATGGAGGCCACCCTCTGTAATCTGCACCTCAGTAGACATGCTTTGGGCAGCTATGGAAGCTATAACCTTTTGGGGCTATTTCATGCCTGCTCCATGGGCAAACAGCCCCTTTCCAGGTTCTCTCCTCCGTTTCCTGTCTCATTCTCTTTTCTCCTCTTACTGTGCCCTCAAACTCTGCTCAGCCCTTCAGCAGCCCTAGGGGTTCAAAATGAACAAGACCACAGGATCCTAACCTCCTATTCTAAGCTATATTAATTATCAAAAACACCTTTGGCCTGGCATGGTGGTTCACACCTGTAATCCCAATACTTTGGGAGGCTAAGGCGGGAGGGTCACTTGAGACCAGAAGTTCAAGACCAGCCTAGGGAACATAGTGAAACCCTGTCTTTTTTTTTTTTTGAGACGGTGTCTCAAGCTGTCGACCTGGGTGTCATAGCTCACAGCAACCTCCAACTCTTAGGCTCAAGCAATCTTTTTGCCTCAGTTCTATTTTTAGTAGAGATGGGGTTTTGCTTTTGCTCAGGCTAGTCTGGAACTCATGAACTCAAGCCACCCACCTTGGCCTCCCAGAGTGCTAGGATTACAGGCGTGAGCCAACTGAGCTGGGCCCGAGAGCCTGTCTCTTAAGAAAACAAAAATAAAAACTCCTGTCACTAATTTAATAAGAATTCTGTTCTACATTGTTATTAGGTAAGAGTTTATCTATTTGCCAGCTGACTAGTATGAATTGGACAACAAAAGCAAAAGAAGTGATATTTTCATTAGCATCGGCACCCCTATTAGAGGTGTTCTCTTCAACAGAATTTCTTTGAAATATTGAAAAAGACTCATGCGGTACCTTGACTGACTCTGGGCACCTCTAGGGATTTGGGGAACTTCTGCTTTAGTCCCTACCCCCTGCCTCGGTGTTTTTCTGGTCCTGCTGTCAGAGTTAGAGCCTAGAGATTAAGATCAGCCCTAGAGGCACTCAGTCACACAGTCATACACTCAGGGTGGATCCCTAATAAAAACTCTGAACATGGTGTGGCGCTCATAGCACAGTGGTTGCAGTGCCAGGCACATACACCGAGGCTGGAGGGTTTGAGTGGCCTGGGCCAACTAAACAACAATGATGACAACTGCAACAAAAAAATCAGGTGGTGCCTATGGTTAAGTAGGTAGGGTGCTGGCCCCATATACTAAGGGTGGCTGGTTTGAACCAGGCCTTGGCCAAACTACAACAAAAAAAATAGCCAGGTGTTCTGGTGAGTGCCTATAGTCCCAGCTACTCAGGAGGCTGAGGCAAGAGAATCTTTTAAGCCCAGGAGTTAGAGGTGCTGTGAGCTGTGATGCTGTGGTACTCTACTGAGGGTGATAAAGTGAGACTCTGTCTCTAACAAAAAAAAAAAAAATGGCTGGGCGTCATAGCAGGCACCGGTAGTCCCCAGTTACTTCAGAGGCTGAGGCAAGAGAATCACTTGAGCCCAAGAATTGGAGGTTACTGTGAGCTGTGACGCTACAGCACTCTACCGAGGGCAAGAAAGTAAAACTCTGTCTCAAAAACAAAACACAACTCTGAACACCAAGGCTCAGGAGCATATTCCTGGTTGATAGTACTCTGCATGTGTTGTCAGCACACTGATGCCAGAAGAGTAACATACCCTGATTCCTTGGGTAAAGCATAATAGAGGTCTGCATTTGGACCCCTCTTGACGTTAGTCTGTGTTGTTTCCCTGTAATAAACTGTAACCATGAGTACAGTAGCTTTCGGTAAGCTCCAGGAGTCCTAGCAAGTTATTGAATCTTAGTGGTTTTGGGGACCTAAGGCTTGAAGTTGGCGTCAGAAGTAAAGATGGGCTCGGCGCCTGTGGCTCAAGTGGCTAAGGCGCCAGCCACATACACCTAAGGTGGCAGGTTCCAATCCAGCCCAGACCCGCCAAACAACAATGACAGCTGCAACCAAAAAATAGCCGGGCGTTGTGGCGGGCGCCTGTGGTCCCAGCTACTTGGGAGGCTGAGGCAGGAGACTCGCTTGAGCCCAGGAGTTGGAGGTTGCTGTGAGCTGTGAAGCCACGGCACTCTACCCAGGGGGATAGCTTAAGGCTCTGTCTCAAAAAAAAAAAAAAAAAAAAGAAGTAAAGATGTATTGTGTGGACAGCACCCTCTAAACTTACCGATGCCTTTTCAGTAGAATAGACATTTTTACTGGGGAGTCTCTCACGTGCTCATCTCTCTTTTGTCTTTTAGTGTTCCACTGGCAGGCCACCATCATGGGCCCGGTAGGTAGTAGCTGTTAAGCACACCGCTCCACTTTTGCTTCTTTTACTTTATACTTAGCATGTGCACTGAACTCTTTCTGTGTCTCATCTTGCCAGAATGATAGTCCTTACCAAGGAGGTGTTTTCTTCCTGACCATCCACTTTCCTACCGATTACCCTTTCAAGCCCCCAAAGGTGAGCACCCCCCATAATCCCTCTTAAGTTTGGGTGATGGACAGTATGTGATGTGGGGCCTTTCAAGTCACAGGTGAGCAGAACTGTGCATGGGGCTTCTCCAAGGGCCTGCCACTCCAGCTTGTGATAACAAGCTCCCAAGACTTTGGGAATTAATCCTATAGAGAGCAAGGGTCAGTGTGGTGAGCTGGCCTCCTCACTAAGGCTGCAGTTCTACTGAAGCTCCTCGTGGCTGTAGCTGAGTCCAGTCAGAGATCCAGCCTCTGGTTCCTTTCTTCAGAATTCCTTACTTATGGTCTAGGACTAGGGTTACAGTGGGGTGATTTTGTCCCTGCACCAGGAACACTGAGGCAACATCCTGGGATATTTGAGGTTATCAAAACTAGGGCATAGCAGTTACTTCTGGTTTCTAGTGGGTGAAGGCCAGGGATGCTGTTCAGCACCCTACAACCTTCCTTCCCGCAACAGAGAATGATTAGCTGCCCCATGTGTTTGTGGTGCTGAGATAAACACACCCTGGTCTTGGACCCTGGCAAAGCATTTGTCTTATCACACCTTCAGTTTGCTTCATTAAGTTAAAAGAGTAGCAAGCCTTTCTTTGCCCTTCACACAAACGACATCCCATCAGTGGAACCTGAGAACCATGCTACCAAAGGGATGGAGGAGCCTGGGGGAGCTGCCTTACCACGCTGCCTTGGCACTGCTGTGGGCTGCTGGGATGTCCTGTCTGTAGGTTGTCCTGCTGCCTGGACCATCATGCCCATGTCACACCCTGGGCTCCATATGCTAAGGCAGAGCCTGCACTCCTGAGGCCTACAGACCTGTGGAGGAGGCAGGACAGTTAGTGTGTGAGCTGTCAGCGCTGAGGAGAAGCCCAGCAGCGGTTACCAGTAGGAGCTGGAGTCATCCTGGGGAGGAGGCACTGCAGTGTCTCAGCCCAGGAGGGGCGGGGTCCACAGGGAATTGTACCATTGAACCCATCCTGTGTTGGGGTGGGGAGGAGCCAGAGGGGTATAGCCCTAGGAATGGGATCTGATGGCCCTTATGTGGGAAAAGTGGGAAAATGGGGGGCTAATTGATGAGTGACTCAATGGGCTGCACATACTGACAGGCTCACTCTACTGCCTTGTGGTGAAGAGGCTGGGCAGGGACCCCAGCCTGGCGAGGCTCTATGGTAATACATGCCTGGTGGCATAGAAGTAGGGAGAAGAGTTGATTCTGGGGTGGTTAGATGGTGGAACCAAAAGGCCAGGCTGCAGTCAGGTATGGTCACACAAGAGTATGTATGTGATTCATATCCTTTTTAGCATCTTTTAAATTATGTTATGTTACGTTATTTTTTTCTTTTTTTTGCAGATTTTGGCTGGGGCGGGGTTTGAACCCACCACCTCCGGCATAGGGGGCCAAAGCCCTACTCCTTTGAGCCACAGGTGCTGTCCCATGTTATATTATTTTGTTTTATTTTTTTGAGACAGAGTCTCACTCTGTTACCCAGGCTTGAGTGCCATAGCCTCAGCCTAGCTCACAGCAACTGTAACTCTTAGGTTCAAGCAGTCCTCCTGCCTCAGCCTCCCAAGTAGCTGGGATTACAGATGTGTGCCATTACACCCAGCTACTTATTTTTATTTTTATTGTTATAGAGATGGGTTCTCACTGTGTTGCTCAGGCTGGTCTTGAACTTCTGGCCTCAAGTGATCCTCTCACTTTGGCCTCTCAAAGTGCTGGGATTATAGGTGTCACACACTATACTTGGCCTCATTTTTATTCTCATTTGAAAATAAAAATATCAACACAATAATTAAGTTAGTGAGGTGAAGGCTATGTTAACCAGTTTGATGTAAATATTCCAAATTGTATATAAAATCACGTTGTACCCCATAAATGTATTATTAATGTACATAGTTATGATTTAATAAAAAAAATTAAGAGAAGATAAAAATATCGATTCTGTTTTGTTAATGAGGAAACTGAGGCATTCCTAAAAATGACATGCCTGTAATGGAGGGCGGGACTCAAATCTAAATGTGGCACCCTTGTTAAAAAAACATTTTTATTTTGAACAAATTTTACACATAGTAAAAAGTTTCAAAAATATGGATGGTGCCTGTGGCTCAAAGGAGTAGTGTGCCGGCCCCATATGCCGGAGGTGGCGGGTTCAAGCCCAGCCCCGGCCAAAAAGTGAAAAAAAAAAAAAAAAGTTACAAAAACAGTATAAAGAGTTTTCTCATAGCTCATACAGCTTTCCCTGTTACCATATAGGGATACTGGGTCTACTATGAGGAAAACCAGGAAATAAATGTTGGTTAAAATACTATAAGCTAAACTCAACTTCTAAGTCCTTGTGTTCTAGGACCCCACATTCATTTACTCATTTATTGTCATGTCTTGGTCATTATAGTCTGTAATGGTGCCTCTGTTTCCCTTGGTCTTTCATGACCCTGATGCTTTTTTTTTTGGAGACAGAATCTCCCTTTGTTGTCTAGGCTAGAGTGCCATAGTGTCAGCCTCCACAGCATCCTCAAACTCCTGGGCTCAAGTGATCCTGCTGCCTCAGCCTCCCAAATAGCTGGGCCTACAAGTTCCTACCATGATGCCTTGCTATTTTTTTTTTATTTTTAGCTTTAATTAGACAGGTCTCAAACTCCCAAGTTCAAGTGGTCCTCTTGCCTTGGCCTCTCAGAGTGCTAGGATTATAGGCATGAACCACTGGGCCCCACCAAACTTGATGCTTTTGAGAAGTATTGAATGATTATGTTTTTAAATGTTCCTCATTTTGTGTTTGCGTGATGTTTTCTCGAGATTGGGCTAAGTTTCTGCATTTTGGCAAGACTTACTCAGAAGTCCTGCGTCAGTATCAGGGCACCACAGCTGAGGGGTTGTGATGTCATGGTGTCTTGCCTCCCTGACTTGGCTTTGATGGCTCTTGCATCCTCTCCTTGTTCAAGACTCTTGGCCACTACTTTGCATTGACTTGGCTTTGATGACTCTGTTTGAGTCAGACTCTTGGCTACTACTTTGCATTGTTTGTATCAGTGTGAAGAAGCCCCTTCTGGGATCACCAGCCACGGCTGTGTTCAGGCATTGCTACCTGAGGGCACCTAGTGCCTGAGTATTGTATTTAATTCTTGGTTAAGTGTGTGCAGGGTTCTCTGGGGACCGTTCCAGCTTTTGCCAGGAGAGTGTGGGGTGTGCTGAATAGGGTGGTGGCAGAAGCTAAAATACCTCTACAGGTTGTAGTACAACTTCTGTTTCATGGATTTTGTTGATAAAGTACTCCCTTTACACCCCTCCCTTCTGGTCACAGCAACTTCCAATTCCTGGGTTTAGGTGATTCTCTTGCCTTAGCCTCCTGAGTAGCTGGGACTACAGGCACCCACCACAACGCCCAGCTATTTTTGTTGTTGTTGTTGTTGCAGTTTGGCCAGGGCTGGGTTTAAACCCGTCACCCTCGGTATATGGGGCTGGTACCCTGCCCACTGAGCCACAGGCGCTGCCTGATACTTACTTCTGAGATCCTTTTGAAGTTTGACCCTTCCTGGGAAAAATCATATGGTAATAGATGTTCAAGCTTGCATACACAGAGCGCTCTTCTCATATTCTAAAGTAAGTTCTTTTTTTAAAAAAAAAAATCTATTTTATTTTAAACTATATCAGGCATGCAATAAATTGTACATAATAATATAAAGGATGACTGAGCATCTACCATTCAGCCTAAGGATGGGTTCTCAGAGCAAGGGGAGGTTGCAAGTCATTACTCTTGCCTTGCTCCAGCCCTGGCCTAGTGTGGGTATAGGTAAACTTGGTTCTCATTATGCTCCTGAAAGCTGCACCTGAATAGGATGACCTTACACATCACAGGAGCTGACTCCATGACACCCGTGATAGCCCTGGGAGAGGTACCATGCCCCTGATTATAACAAGGTCTCTGAGGCCCAAGGGAGGTCATTTGAAAAAGTAATATGTGGCTGTGAAAAGGTGGCAACTATATAAGGAAAATAGGACCTTCTTCATACTCTGTCTCACTAGTCCTTACATCCTTTCCCCTGGAGACACTGAGTCCTACTTTTTTCTTCTTTCTTTCCAGGCATAATCTACACCTATACTAAGTACCTGTGCGTGCTTGCTTATTTCTCCCATAAATGGAACAGACTTTTTTCCATGCAACTACATCTTGCTTTTCTCATTAGCAATACATCTTGGAAATTATTTCATATAAGCACATTCATTCTTTTTAAATTCACCTCATTCTTTTTTTTTTTTTTTTTTTTTGAGACAGAGCCTCAAGCTGTCCCCCTGGGTAGAGTGCCATG